AGGAAAGGAGTGTCATTTAGATATTGCTCTAACTGGTACATTTTTTATCAGTCTAATTAGATCTTCATTGTGCAGTTTTAAAAAGCTAATAAAATAATCCATTTTTTATGTAAGGGAGAACGAAATACATATTCAATTAAAATATTTTTCACTTTTTTTAATTGATTTTATCTTTTAAGTACATGACAGTGGAATGCATTACAATTCTTATTACACATATAGAGCACAGTTTTTCATATCTCTGTTTGTTTATAAAGTATGTTCACACCAATTCGTGTCTTCATACATATACTTTGGAAAATGATGTCCATCACATTCCACCATCATTGCTAATCCCCTGCCCCCTCCCTTCTCCTCCCACCCCTCTACCCTATCTAGACTTCCTCTACTCCCCCTCCCTACCCCACTATGAGTCAGACTCCTTATATTCGAGAAAACATTCGGCATTTGTTTTTTGGGGATTGGCTAACTTCACTTTGCATTATCTTCTCCAATGCCATCCATTTACCTGCAAATGCCATGATTTTATTCTCTCTTATTACTGAGTAGTACCATTGTGTATATATGCCATATTTTTTAATCCATTCAACTACTGAAGGGCATATAGGTTTGTTCCACAGTTTAGCTATTGTGAGCTGTGCTGCTATAAACATTGATGTGGCTGTGTCCCTATAGTATGCTTTTTTAAAGTCCTTTGGGCACAGACCTAGGAGAGGAATAGCTGGGTCAGATTGTGGTTTCATTCCCAGATTTCCAAGGAATCTCCATACTGCTTTCCATATTGGCTGCACCAATTTGCAGTCCCACCAGCAATGTATAAGTGTGCCTTTTTCCCCATATCCTCACCAACACTTATTGTTGTTTGTATTCATAATAGCTGCCATTCTGACTGGAGCAAGATGATATCTTAGAGTAGTTTTGATTTGCATTTCTGTAATTGCTAGAGATGATGAACATTTTTTCATATATTTGTTGATTGATTGTATAACCTCTTCTGAGAAGTGTCTGTTCATGTCCTTGGCCCATTTATTGATTAGGTTATTATTATTATTATTATTATTTTGATGTTTAGCTTTTTGAGTTCTTTATATACCCTAGAGATTAGTGCTCCATGTGATGAATGATGGATAAAAATTTGCTCCCAAGATGTAGGCTCTCTATTCACCTCACAGATTGTTTCTTTTACTGAGAAGAAACTTTTTAGTTTGAGGCCATCTTATTTATTGATCTTGGTTTTAATTCTTGTGCTACAGGAATCTTATTAAGAAAGTTGGGGCCTAATCTCAGATGATAGAGATTAGGGTCCACTTTTTCTTCTAATAGATGCAGAGTCTCTGGTTTAACTCCTAGGTCCCTGATCTACTTTGAGTTGAGTTTTATGAATGGTGAGAGATAGGGGTTTAATTTCATTTTGTTGCATATGGATTTCCAGTTTTCCCAGCACCATTTGTTGAAAAGGCTTTCCTCCAATATAAGTTTATGGTGACTTTGTCTAGTATGAGATAAGTGTATTTATGTGGGTTTGTCTCTGTGTCTTCTATTGTGTACCATTGATATTCATGTTTGTTTTGGTGTATGTGTGTTTTGCTGGGATGGAACCCAGGGCCTCGCAGTGATCTTCATTCCCAGCCCAGTGTTTTATTTCTCAAGGACTTTAGCTGTTGCTACTGGCACCCTCTTCAGCACCTCTCTTGTTCTAAGTCTTGCTTTTAATATGTACATTTATTTTTTTTTTAAATATTTATTTATTTATCTTTTTTTTTTTTTTAGTTATCGGTGGACACCACATCTTTGTTTGTATGTGGTGCTGAGGATTGAACCTGGGCCGCACGCATGCCAGGCGAGCGCGCTACCGCTTGAGCCACATCCCCAGCCCCTAATATGTACATTTATAATATTTGTGGTGCTCTGATCTTGACTCTCTGCCAACGATATGGCACTTTCACCACTCACTGCCATGGTCGAATTCCACCCTAGACTTCACCATAATCTCAATTTCGTGCATCTCACTGTGGTAATTTTGCAGAAGTGGGATGGACTCCTCCACCCCAAATTTGGTTTGGATGTTGAAGTGGATGATGCTACACATGCATCAGGAGAATAAAAAGGTTTACTACACAGTGAGACACTGACAGTAGGGCAGGCTTCTCAACTGGTCCATAAATGACTTAAGGGAGCAGAGAAAGGAGACTCAGGGTTTTATGGTGGTTGGGGATGGGAAGACTTCCTGCTGGCATGAAAGGCCCTGGGTTTTCTTATCAGTTGCTCAGATGTGGGGCACAAAGGGTAGTAGGGCTTGAAAACTATAATATATCAAATGTAATAAATGGAGTCCGAATTTTTATTACACATTTCCTGTCTTTACAGATTATTTTTTCCCCTTGACCTTTGGAAGTCTGTGCTCCTGTATGAGGAGTTCTGTAAGTTCTGTTCTGTTTCAATTTTCTTTAAAAAACATTGGAGGAGCTGGGGTTGTGGCTCAGTAGAGCACTTGCCTAGCACGTGTGAAGCATTGGGTTCGATTCTCACCACTGCATATAAATAAATAAAGATCCATTGACAACTGAAAAAATTAAAAAAAAAACCCACTGGAATTAATGTTATTAGCTATGAGGAAGTGGGAAAGATGAGTAGAAGTTTGAAGAGAGAAGGGTGTGAAATATTTATTTAGGATAATGGGAAGATGGGTTAGGAAAAATTGTATGCTTACTGAGTGTCATTAAGGGCTAACTTGAATTCATAGACATGAATTTAAGTGGGACAAGTCAGTGCCACTGCTCTTCTTTCCTTAGCAATAATTAGGGGCCAGGATACAGGCTCAGACTAGGCTGAGAATCCCATTTAATCAAATTTTGCCAAGGGAATAGGAAAAAAGAGAGGATCAAGGAACAGAGGATGTAAGCAAAGGAGTGATTATGATTTCACCATATAATTTTAGATGAGTTAAGGGGGGGAGAAGTGAATATGGAGAAGTTAAAGACAGTGAAAGGGTGGTAGGATCAATGAATTAGAAGTCCGTGGTGGGAGGGTTTGGGAGATTATAGGAGTCAAGAGAAAAGAGGGAATGATCTGGAAAGATAGGAGGTGTGTAATAAGATTTCTGACTACCTTAAGTCATTTATGGAGCAGTTGGGGAGCCTGTCCTACTGTCCCCAAAGAATCTCAAACTGTAAATGATGATCCTTCTGTGCTAGATTCCAAACCCCAAATCTCTCAAGGACACCACACTAGTAATTCTCTCTTCTTGTTCTGATATTATTTCTTTTGTATCATGTCCATCATAACTAAATATTTCTTTCTATTAAAAAAAAATCACTGTCTCATTTTGCTCCTCCCCCTAGGAGAATTTATTAAAAGAATTGTCTATAATAGTCATCTCCAATCATTCTCCTCACATTCTTTATTATTATTTTTAGTGGCCAGGCTCCTGAAGATTGAATTCAGGGCTTCACACATGATAGGTGAGTGCTCTGCCAGTGAACTTGAGCTACATCCCCAGCTCTTTTTTTTTTTTTTTCTTTTTGAGATAGGGTCTTGCTAAGTTGCCCAGGCTGACCTCAAACTTGTGATCCTCCTATCTTAACCTCCCAAGTCACTGGATTACAGTCATGTGTCCCCAGCTGCCCAGCCTATTTGATTTTATGTATTTATTACTTTTATTGTTTATTGCCTCCCCTCCACCACAAAATGTAATATCTTCGAGGATAGGGATTTTTGTCTATTTTGTGTGTATAGCCAAAACAACTTGAACTGTGTCTGGGTACTCAATAAATATTTGCTGAATGAATGAGTAAAACTAGTATGATCCATCTTTATCTTACTGAAACTGGAAACACCAGAACAAAGTTTATGTAAAAACTCAACATGAGAATGCGTAAAGGTTTGCTTCTGGGGAAACCACTTCTCAAAACAAGGAGCCTGTGAGCTCTGAATGACCAAACGTTGTTGGCACCACGTGAAAACGTGGTATGTGGGGTAAAGTGATGTAAAACCCGCATCTTCCTCCATAAAAGTCACTGGGATCAACAGCTGTTCTCCTGCTAGGGTGGCTCCTTTTTCCCTTATTTGGACCTGTCAAAAGAAAGACACCACACCCTGTGTTATGTAGCCTTAACTGAGAAGCTATGCCACGTCCCAGGTCTCTTGCCTTCACGACTGTATTTAATTTAGTCCCCCCCACCCCGCGTTTTGGATCAGGATTCTTGGGTGGGGCCAGAAAAACTCCGAAGCTGTCTTGAAAACAACAAACCAAAAAAGTCGGAATTGTAAAAAATAAAAAGTACATTAAAAAAAAAAGTTGAAGTCCACCAGAGACCACTGAGTTTAACAGAGGGGAGCCCAGTCCTCGGTGGGCACAGAACACAGTTCTCCCAAGACGCGCGGGTCCAGTCTCTGGATGCTGCAGACACCCCTTTTCCCCACCCGACTGAACGCAGCGCGCGCGCAAGGTAAAACAAGTCTGTCCCCAAGGAAGAAGCCCAAAGCTTCCTTTGAATTTTGATACAACACGCTCAGACACGTTTTGACTCAAAGGGCAGAGTCCAGAGCGAGGATCCGTCCCGCCGAAGCAGGGTGATGGGATGCGTGGCCAGGCGCAGTGCTGGGAGCGGAGAGCCCCAGCAAGTGACAAGGTCGGCTTTCACTGAGGGGTCGGCGCTCCAGCTTCCGCGGCGCACACCCCTTGCTGGCTACCATCCTCCCTTGGCGAGCTGAGCTTGCAACACTTGCGCTTCCGCGGCGCCTCCTCCTTCCTCCGCGCACCTCCCCTTTAAGCGCGAGGAGCAATTGGATTTGTGTCGGCGGAGACGAGGTGCGACTCCCCTTTATGGCGGAGTCGGCGGCAGCCGCTCTGACAGCCGCGGCGGCTCGGCGAACAGAGCAGGAGGCCGGGCCTCGGGCCGTCCGCCGCCGTCACTGCAGTGGGGCCGGGGGTAGCGCGCCGCGCGCCCGGCGGGGGCGGGAGAGTGGGCGGGCCCGACCGGGCAGGGGGCGGGGAGGCGGGGAGCCCGGCCGCCAGCGCTCTGGTCCGCCTCTGACTGCGGCGCGGCGGGGCGATGTGTGATTACCATGGCGAGGAGTCTCTGTCCGGGGGCCTGGCTAAGGAAACCTTGTTATCTCCAGGTAGGCCAGTGGCTGCCCCGCCACCCTCCTCGGGCGCACCGGGCCGCGCGCCCTCCGCGTCCCGCGGGACTCGCCCGTCCCCCTCCTTCCTCCCAGGGTCGGCGCCCGCCCGAACCCCGCTGCCCCCTGCCGTCCAGCACCTGGCGGCGCGCCCTCTCCGGTCGTCCGGGCGCCGCAGCCCCTCGGCGGCGGCGCCGCCTGCGCCCCCCATTGCTGCCGCTGTGCCTCCCGCGCCTCAGCCGGCTGGGCTCGAAGCCCGGCTCGTCCCGCCCGGGCTAGCCCTCGCGCTGGGTGCACCCTGAGAGCCCCGAGACGCGACCCGGGTGCGATCCTGCGCCCCGGGCGCTGCCCCCTGCCCTGCGCCCTTTCAGTCGGAGCTTGGGACGTGCCGTCGCCTTTTTCCTGGTTTCAGTGTTCCCCCTCTCCTGGCCCCCCCATTCCCTGGCTAGCTATTCCTCACTCTGTCTCGGGTCTTGAGCCAGTGGTAGGAAAGGTGGTGTGTCATTCCTCCATATTTTAGACAATTATGACAATTTGTCACATCCATGCTTCCCCAAACCCCCCAAAGCGGCGTGTGCCTCGTGCTGAGCCCCTTGGCTTGGTCTTTCCATCACACCCGTGATTTAAATGGGAGGTAGGGATGAGAAGCTCTAGGCTATGTGTATTTGCTTTTGAAAAGGAAAGGGGACAGTGACTGGTGTGCGGATCTCCAGTACCCCAGCAATGCAAACGTAATTCTCAGTCATGTCGTGTGTACTGTTCGCGTGTTAATTTTTCATGATTTCTCCTTCCACCCTCTGTTCCGCTACCAGTCTATGCTTTCGAACCCTACTACTGCCTTCATGTACTGTTTGGTCACCAGGGGGACCTAGCAGACATCGCGAGTAGCTGAACACAAATCCATCACTCCAATGGAAAAACAACTACAAATCAATGCCTCATGTGGGTCAGCAGTGTTCTGTGCATTCAGAGGGCACTATTCCTTTACCGTTTGCATTAAAAGACTTAAAGGTATTGGTAGGGTAGTTTGGGTCTGCTGGTGCTTTTAAAAATTATGAAAAAAGTTGAGAAGGAACCGTCATGAGACAAGTAAACCTTATGTTTTTGTTTGAAAATTTTATGTGTTAATCATGACCCTGAGATGAGTGATGTAAGTGCAGATTGGAAGCATGATATGACAATTCATGATACTAAGGGCTAAGAATAAAACGGAATGTTCTGAATCTTTGTATCAGCACCACCAGTAGCAATTGTTCCTCAAGTAACGTATGTATAACCCAGTCTAAAATTACGTTTTTGGGCATGTAACCTTTTATGTGAGTTAAAAAAAAAAAAAAAAAGCTTTCCATACTATCCCCAACATATGATTCTTGATATATTTTAAATGTTTTTTTGAACTAAAAATACCTAGCTACCTATGTTTAATTTTTAGATTTGGTGGTAGATTTAGACTTTTTGGTTATGAACACTTTCCAGAGATGTGACAGTCTTTGATACCGAATAGCACAAGAGCTTTCAGATTAGTTTTTACAAATAGTTATGCTTCCACTAATGACAAATATTTGGCATTTCTGACTTTCTGAATTAGTACATCATTATTGCCAAAATAAGGTAAACTAGCCTGGTGTGGTGGCTCACACCTGTAATTCCAGCTGCTGGGGAGGCTGAGGCAGGGGTATTGCAAGTTCAAAGCCAGCCTCAGCAACTTAGGAAGACCTTGTCTCAAAATAAAAAATACAAAACAGGCTGGGGATATGGCTCAGTCATTAAGTACTTCTGGGTTCAATCCCTAGTACCAAACCAAACTGAAAACAAACAAACAACAAATAATGGTAAAAGGATTGGGAGTATAGTACTATTTTAGTAATTTATTTCTATATAAAATAATTTTTAAAAATTTTATATGTTAGGGGCTGGGGCTGTAACTCAGTGGCAGAGCGCTTGCCTTGCAAGTGTGAGGCACGGGGTTCGATCATCAGCACCGCATAAAAAAATAAATAAATAAAGATGTTGTGTCCATTGACAACAACAACAAAAATTATAGACTTAATAGTATTATGGTATATAGTATTATAGATTTTTAAAAATTCAAAACTTGAGAACTGGAATTTCAGGCAACTAGTGTTTTAAGCATTATCTTAGCATTTATTCTATTAATTTTCTTGTTAGTTATTCCTCACCATAATTTCAATTTAACCAATTTTTAAAATAGGCATTCAAATTACTTAGCTGCCAGGGCTGGGGTTGTAGCTCAGTGGCAGAGAGCTTGCCTAGCACGCATAAGGCACTGGGTTCAACCCTCAGCACCACATAAAAGTAAACAAATAAAATAAAGGCATTCTTTCCATATACAACTTCAAATTAAAAAAAAAAATTACTTAGCTGCCAAACCTTCTTCTGTTTCCTGTTGGCAAATAAGTGCTTTTTACACTTTCTCTACTACTAGGTGCTTCAACCTCAAAAATTGTTTGGGCAAAGTCAAAATAAAATATTTTCAACTGAGACTGTTGTAGTTAATTTTTCAGCCACTGAAGTTTAATTTACATGGTACTTCCTTTTCCTTTTTTTTTTTTTTTTTAATCTTTGGAGCATCAATTTTGTAAGACTTGTGAGAAACACATGTACTAAGAACCATCTTTGCTATCACAGAAACATGGGAGACGGGACAGAGAAGAGCAGGGCAAGGGGAAGTGTCCCAGGAAAAATGGTCTCTGATGTCTCTCCCAAGCTGGGGGCAGAGGAACCCTCCTATCTCCAGGTGGCTCTGAATGTACTGGTGACTGGAATCATGCTCAGAAGCCCAAGGCAGTTCACTCACCTCCTTCTGTACCTGTTTAAGTCTATGCCTGGCCAATGCTTATGCCATGATGTCAAGATCCATGAAGCTCAGGGACCTATGGCCATCCATTCATTTTTATCTGTGCTTAGCTGTCTACTTTTTTTTTTTTTTAAGAGAGAGAGAGAGAGTAAGAGAGAATTTTTTAATATTTTTTTTTTTTTAGTTTTCGGCAGGCACAACATCATTTTTTTTTTTTTTTAAGTATGTGGTGCTGAGGATCGAACCTGGGCCTCTCGCATGCCAGGCGAGTGCGCTACCGCTTGAGCCACATCCCCAGCCCAGCTGTCCACTTTTATTACAGCCACTTTGTTCCTGAATCCAGGGCCCATTTGCCCTCCATTCATTGGAGCCATTGTTTCTGAATCCAGGGCCTGTCTTCTGAGCTATACAACATGGCACACAACAAGATATTCATAAACAGTCCTAGGCCTCCCTTCCAGCCCTTCTGTTGTCAAGGGCACAGGTTTTGGTCCTACCATGGGCTTGCTGGTGAAAAGAGAATTTTTTTTAGATGATGTATCCTTGGAGGACTTGCTGTCCTTACCTCCTACCTACTGAAGCTCAACTAGGAACTGGGTGGGGGGGTGCACAGGGAAATGTTGGGGGGGCTATTCTGGGTGTGGGGTGGGAGGGTCCTCACAGGTAGTCTGCAGTGAGGAATAGCAGGCAGGCTGGCTCTTGGGCTGCCCATCTGTCCTGATTGCTTACCTTCCTCAGGCCACTGATGTTCAGCAGCAAGAAGAGGAAGGTGTGGAGAGGAGGCTTACTAACACTCCTCTTCAAAAGGAGAGGGAAGGTGGAAGGATCTGCAGGAGGAAAGCAAGGCCCAACCTCCAGATGCACAGGCCTAACTGGGGTTCTCTGAGGCTAGAGCATAACATATGTAGCCATAGCATCATTAAATTTTCTCTTTAATAAAAGTACCCAGGTTTTGTATAGGCTGTACCCTATGCCAAACATAATCATCGTTATTGTGGGGTGTAGGTCATCAGGAAATAGCTGGCTAAGTTGAATATTCCTTATCCAGGCTTAGCCACAGGTGCCCCATGATTTGGCCTACCATGGGCCTCTGTGTGGGATTGACAGTAAATGACAGATGAGGTGGAAATGGGAGGGGGATATTGTATCCTATGTGCAGAATCTGCTCCTTCAGCTGCACACAGATGTTTGCTTTGAATGGGAGGCAACCTGTGACCATGAAATATAGGAGGACACCCAGGTTCCAGATATCTGTTGCAGGGTCATCATTTTACTTGCTGGTAGAGTTCTGGGGCACAGTATGGGAGAGTGCTGCAAAACATGTCCAGTTTTTGCTCAGCTGTGAACCTGTGACTCAGGTCAAAGTCACAGAGTTGGATGTTTGCTCTGGCATTCACCAGGATGTTCTCTGGCTTTGGGTCTCTGTGCACGATGCACTTCTCATGGCAGTAGTGCACTGTGCATGTGATCTGACTGAACACTCCCTGAGCCTCCTGCTTCTGTGTGCCAGCAGCCTCCAGGATGGGGGGCAACAGCTGTCCCCCACTTACATGTTCCATCCTGATTGTAGATGTTTTCACTGGTTTCAGTCGCTTGAAATAGCTGGATCACATTTGGGTGTTCCACAGTCTCCATTATATCCACTTTGGATATAATAAAGGGGAAGTTCTCCTTTGCCTTTGACAGTACTTTCATAGCCACCTCTGTACCTATTAGGATATGGCAAGCCAATTTCACTTGGGCAAAGCTGCCTCTGTCCCATGTCCTTCAGGACACTATCCTTAAAGGAGGAGCTGAACTGTCACACTATTCCTTCAGTAGAGTCACTATTCTCACTACCAATCATAATAAGAAACACCAATGATGCTAGCTAAAAAGAAAACAAAAAGGGGCTGAAGTTGTAGCTCAGTGATAAGAGCACTTGCTTAACATGTGTGAGGCACTGGGTTTGATCCTCAGTACTACACAAAAATAAATAAAGGTATTGTGTTCATCTACAACTAAAAAAAAAATTTAAAAAGAAAACAAAGAGGAAAAAGAAACAACAAAACCTAAAAGAAAACAAAATTAAAAACTCAAACCAGGCTAGGGCTGTAGCTCCGTGGTAGAGCACTTACCTAGCATGTGTGAGGCACTGGGTTCAATTCTCAGCACCGCATATAAATAAGTAAAATAAAGGTCC